ATAAAATAACTTACAGACGTTAAAGAAATTATAGGTGAAATAGAGTAAACAGAATAAACAGACTGTACAGAAATATAAAAAAAAGAGAGAAAACAAGTGAAACAGAAATTATTATTGATTACATTTTTACACAGCAGTAATGTCACTTAATATGAGATCATTATTAATCATCAAATTCCACGTGATATTTGAAGTTATAATTTCTTCTGTTAACAATATCTATAATACTTTTTGCTTAATATTATATAATGAACTTTACTATTTAAACAAATATTAATAAAAGTAAAAAAAGATCCTTTTAAGTCTGATACATAATAATTATATAAATTCTTATTATAACAAATTATACTATCATAGTCAAGACAAGCTTTTTCATTTTCTGAACTTTTATAAATATAATTTGCAAAATTATTTTCTTTTTAGGTAAAGTATTTATCTTATTTTTTTAATTTTTTTCACAATTAATATATCATAAATATATATGATTTTTACTGTTTTTATAAATATTAATATTACAATAAAAATAAATTTTATATTATGAGTAAATAGTAATAATTCTGTCACATTTTATTAATTATGATCATTTAAGTGCTTTACTTTTTAAGGTTAATTACTTTTTTCTTTATGCATTTATTTAATTCTTGTTAAATTAGATTTTAGGTTTAATCTCAACAATAAAATTTAATATATTTTTTTTTTTATCTCATCAATTAAAACTTAAATATTTTTTGTATTGTAACAATTAAAACATTCTTTTTTGATTATGATTATTTATTAATATAGTAAGTTTTAAGCAAAAATGGGATACTACATGTAATATAATTTATATTACATATGGTATTTCACTTAGCTAGAGTTCTGAATGAGTCGAATCAAGTTGAATTTAAAGACCAACTCTATTTGACTCATTTTTTTCAAGTTGAGTCGAGTCAAATTTATTTTATAAAATCTTTCAATTTGATTTGATTCAAGTTATATAAATTTTAAACTTGACTCAATTTGACTCGACTCGATTTTAACTCAATTCGATTTTAAAAAAAAAAATAATAAAAAAAATGAAAAGAATGATTCAGGTCATCGTTCTTCTTAAATGATTTTTTATTGTTCAAGTTGAATGATTCAGGTCATCATTTTTCTTGAATGATTTTTTATTATTTAAGTCAAATGATTCAGGTCATCGTTCTTCTTGAATGATTTTTTTTATCGTTCAAGTCAAACAATTCCTTATCATTCTTCTTGAACAATTTTTTTATCGTTTAAGTTGAACGATTCATTTCAAAAATAATCAAAAGTAATGCAACGCGTGATTTGTATTACTTGCATATTATTTTATAACAAGAAGTATTAATGAATATTAAAAATTTAATACTAAAAAATAATGGTATTAACAAATAAAAATTTATTAAAGAGGGCAGAATATCTTTAGAATTGAAAGAAATATTTAAATTTAAAGGATTTTATTTTTTTGTTGCATTATTTATGATCGCCACTGTATATAGTAATAATTGTGAAATAATAAGAAAATTAGTAACGATAATAACAAATCTAAAAGAAAGATTACAAATCCATGAACTTGGAAAATTTACAATAAGCATACAATGTTTTTACTTCGTAAAATAGTAAATTTTGCAAAGTTTAAATTTTTTTGGAATAAAATGAAATTTTAAACAAATTTAATTTTATGCTAAATTTTTTAATCTTTGAAAAAATTATTTTGGTAAAGATTAATATAGAAAAGAGATGTATGTATGAAAGATTAAGAAGAAAAGAAATGAACGAAGAAAGGAGAAATAGAATAGAATACATAAGGAGGAAAAAGAACGAACGATGAAAAATGAAGTGCGAAAAAAAGAGGCGAAACAAAAAATAAGTAAGGTAAAGTAAATAACGAAAAACGTAAAAAGGAAAGAACAAAAGGAAGAAACGAACAAATAATAGAATGAAAAAGAAGGGGAGAAAATCAAATTATGGAATAACAAAGAAGGTGCTTAAAAAGAGGAATAAACATATATAGGAAAATGGCAAATTGGGATAAATAAAAGAATGAAAAGGAAAAGAATGGAACAAGAAGATAAGAAAAGAAGGGAAGGTCGAATTAATAGGAAAGAAGAGTAAAGATTAAAAAAAAGAGAAAAAGAAATAATAATAATAAAAAATGAGGATAGGAAAGTAAGAAAAAAGAGAACGAAATTGAGATAAGAAAGGAACGAACGGATTTAAAATTAGATGCAAAAAACGTAACGAAAGTAAAAGGAGGAACAGAAAAAAGTTAATAAGTAGTAAGAAAAGGAACAAAACAAGTAATAAAATAAGAAACTAAATGCTTTTAAAATAGTATACTTGCTGTCGCGCGGCGGTGATCAAATTTTTTTTTAAAAAAGATAAAATGATGGCGGCGGCAGTGAAAATATAACTATAAATGTGGCAATTATTGCCAATACATATCATGTGATATGATATTTAAAATAATTTATTTATATAGGGGGGTAGCCTTTACCGAAGGTACATTTTATGCTCATTTGTTAGGGTGTTCTAGGAATCCCTACGGTAGTGTAAATATTTTATTTACGCTAAGAAGTGATACGAGTAACATACGATAAATTTTAAAATTTATTAGAGTTAATCTATCTGATTTTAAACCTTCATAAATGAAAAAAGCTAAATCTTTCAGAAATGCAGTAATTTGACTCCGTAAAATTTTTCAATTATTTTTTTTTTTAGGTAATTACTTTCGCTTCAATATAAGCAATTTATTTCATTTATTCGTTAAATTTTATTTTATTTTATTTTTTTTTTTTTAGCAAGATTTCTTTAGCTTCTTACACTATTGGGTTGGCTTACTTCGGAAGTAAGCGCGTTATGGATTTTTATTTATTTTTACCGTAATTATCGTTTATATTATGTTCTATGATGAGAACGTGGTGGATCATTGAGTTACTCCTCGGCCACGCTAACTACTAAACAGTAATTATACAATTCACTCGAAATTTTGGAGTCATACTGTATATTTATTAATTTATATCACTTTTTATTATAATATTATATAATAAGTATTTACATATTAAAAAATGTCTCAACATTGCATCAAGGAAAGAAATTTAGAGGCATGTAATATAAGATATAAGACGATATACTGTATATACAATAATGTTATTATTCTTACAAATTTTAAAACTACATTTCACAAACATGATTAAGTTATACAAACAAACGCAATCAACGCAGGAGTTTCGAATGCCATAACTACATGTGCCACCGCTAGGATTGCTTAAACAGGAAGTTGGTTGAGAAAAGAAAATTAAAAAATTGTAAAAGAGATGAACCAGAGCATACGAAGACGACTGAAATTTTAATTATTTACCACCATAGTATTGTCCTTGTGGGGTACCTACAGGGCATACGCAAGAAGTGGAAACGCAAGCAGGAGTGGTGTTAAAGACAAAGAATGCGAAAGACCAAAGATAAATAAGTTAGTTCATTTTCTTGTTTTTTTTTTTTAATTTTCAACGGCTGAGAATACCCTTATTTATGTTCAATTCATTGACGATAATTTAAGTTCAATCTCAATGAACAAGTCCTTGCAAAAATTATAATTTTAATCGGATGATTTTAACAATGTAAACTATGATTATTAAGTAAAAAAATATTTATATATTTTTTTTTTGAAAAAAAAACGTAGGATTTAATGATCATTGTATCACGAAAAAAAATTTTCTTGCTGAAAATATTCTCCTAAATCTGGTTAGATTGAAAATAGTAGTTTCACTTTTTTCACTTACTACTTTTAGCTTAAATGTATTATTTTTTTTTTCTTTCGAGTTGATCACCTCCTGTTTAGTTGGGCATAAGGTTTTTTTTTTTTATTTATTATTTTTTTTTTTTTGTCATTTCGCTTCTTTTTTTAATTTCCGGGTTCAATCACTAACGGGCGCAGCGAAGGAATGATTTCTTTATTTATTTTATTTTATTTTTCTTACGGATTTGCGCCTTAGGTTCCTCTTTTGGATTGATTCGTTTCCAAAAGTTTTGGTGCGATGGAGATGATTTGTTGAAATTATGCCTCAGGTCACCCTATTTCATTTAATTAGGGTATTTAAACAATTCTCGGCAACTGATTGTACATTACGCCGACAGTACGCTTTATTAGGTTAGAACAAAGAAAATCCGTTGATGATTTCAGGATTTAACATTTGGTTTTAAATATTTTCAAGTTTCAGTAGTCTCAGTCTGACAAACAAATATTATCTAACACTTTTTTCAACTATCAAGGATTTACTCTTGACCCATTTATTATCCTCTATCATATTAGCAAAACCACTTCACAAGTATTAAATGATCATGATTCTGATAATTTACTAAATAACTAAACCACAAAACCTTTAATAATTAATTCAAGATGAAAATACAATGGAAGGCACTAGGACAACAATGCTATTATAATTTTTCCGTGTAAGTACCAATGCTTTGATTAATTGATTTGAAGAAAGTCTAATTATCCCTTATTACGAAGGAAATCAGTATCACAATTTTAATAGTGCAGGCAAACATTAAGTTGGTCACTACACCAATTTGTTCTTAATTGGAATTATTTCTTTAAATTGAATAATAGTGTTCTTAACTTTATATTTATATACAAAGGAAAGTAAAGCGGAAGGTTTTAATATTAGATAAGAATTTATTGTGTTGCTCTCAGCGTCGGCGATCTACACTTCCGAAATTTTGCAATTAATTATATATTGTATTTATCGATTGTGATGAATGTTATACAAAATTTCCAAAAAAAAATTTTAAGTTGTTACATTGAATCAAATTTCCTTATTAGGACAACAAATAAAAAAAAACATAAAAAACATTTAAAACATATGAGGAAAATGTTTTTTCCGTAAAAGGAATGATAGCCGGGGGCTGAAACTTGATAAATACATACCAAAAAATACCTCCCTTCTTACCCGTAACAATTTACAATTTCTCAATTAAAAAAGAAAAAATTTAATCGTAAAATGGATTTAGTAATTAACCCCGAAAAAACTTTGAAAGATTTGGAAAAAGGAATTCGGGATTTAGAACAAAATAAAAAGAAAACTGACGATGAAAATCAATTGCTACTCTCCTTTTTATTGAATGAAGTTGGAAGTAAGGATTTAAATAAATTAAGAGAATTATTATCTGGAAAGAAACTTACTGAGATATTAGCTGAATTAGATGAACAAAGGCAAGAAATTGAAAACTTAAATTATGATTTAAAAATAAAAAAAGAAGAATTATCAAAGTTAAGTTCTCAATTCAAACATTCAGAAAAAAAGGTTAAAGTGCGAGATGAAGAGGTCAAAGTCAAGCAAGAAACAATTAATTTCTTAGAGGAAAAGGTTAAAGAACAAGAAAAGGAAGCTAAAGTGAAGCAAGAAATAATTATTCATTTAGAAGAAAATGTTAAAGAACGGAAAGAAGCAGCTAGAAAGAATATTATCTTTTTGGAAGAAAAGGTTAAAGAGCGAGAGGAAGAAGCCAAAATCAAACAAGAAATTATTAATGTTTTAGAGAAGAAAGTTAAAGTACGAGAGAATGAAGCTAAAACCGATCAAAGAACAATTACCATTCTTGAAGAAAAGGTTAAAGATCGAAAAAAAGAAAGTCAAGACAAACAAGAAACCATTAGCAATTTAGAAGAAATGGTTAAAAAGCAGCTAGAATTTATTAACGATTTAAAAGAAAAGGTGGGAGAAAGGGATGAAATAATAAAGTCAAATCAAAAAGCTATTAATGAATTAAATGAACAAATTAGAAAGCAAGAAAGAAAGTCCGAAGAAACTATTGATGAAAAAACAAAGACCAAAAGTCAAGAAGAATTAGATATTAATTATGATAATTCAACTTTAAGCTTAACCATTACTAAGAAAAATAAATATGAAATATTAAAGACTTTAGGGGGTTTGCTAAGATATCGAAAATTAACAACTCTCCGCTGCGAAAATGTTCAATTAACTAGCTTACCAACTTTACCTAACTCCTTAACTTCTTTGAATATTTATAATACTCAAATAACCCGCCTTCCAACTTTACCTAACACCTTAGTTTTTCTATGCTGTTCCTATACTAATATAACCAGCTTACCTTCATTACCTAATTCCTTATTAAAACTCAATTGCGACAATTCTGAAATAACTAGCTTACCAACATTACCCAACACTTTACAAGAACTCTACTGCTATTATACTCTAATAACTAGTTTACCAGCTTTACCTAGCACCTTAAAAATACTCTTCTGCTATACAACTCAAATAACCAGCTTACCAACATTACCTTATTTAACTCAACTAAGTTGTTCCTATACTAAAATAACAAGCTTGCCTATTTTACCTTACACCTTGAAAAAACTCTTTTGCGATAATACTAAATTAACTAGTTTACCAACTTTGCCCAGTTCTTTAAATGTACTCTATTGTCATAATACTCATATAACCTGCTTACCTACTTTACCAAACAAATTAACAGAACTCTATTGCGATAATACAAAAATAACTAGATTACCAAACTTACCTAAATCTTTAACGCAATTATCCCCTAAATCTTTGAAAAAATCTTTCCCATAGTGTATACAATAGTTTTTTTTCCTTTGGAAATTAGTTTAGGAGTAAGTTCAATTATTAAATGGTTGAATTATTATCATTTATATAAGCTTTACCCGAAAATGAAATATAATGGATCAGGAATTTATTTAAATATCCATCCACACTTCTTTTATAATAATAAAATCCGTTTTATATCGAAAAAATTTGATGAAATTTATATTGTTTTTATTTTGTATTTAAAATATCTTTTAAAAAAAGCAAATTGGACTACCAAATTTGGCATGTCCAGTTTTAATTTTATATCAAGGCGGTTTGCTTTTTATGCAAACTCTTATTTTCATTTATTAATATTTCTTGAGATTTTAAAATTTATTATACGTTAAAATTAAAATATTTAATTTCAAATAGCATAATCGCAATTCATTAATAAATTTGTTAAAAAAATAGTCATTTTTAATTAACATATTAACATTAATTTAACCATATATTTTTGTTATACTTTAGATTTTTTATTTGTACTTTTCATTAAATTGAATGGTTTTTTGTTTATTTATGTATTATTGAAAAAATTAATTAATAATTTTGGACCGGTCTGGCTAAAGATATTCGTGCAAGCCTTTATTTCAAAGTTTCAGTCAAGTAAAATTTCATTAAATACCATATCAATATTGTGAATGTACACTCAGGCTTGGGAATTTATAAAATTTACACTAAACTGTACTTGTACTATGAATTATTACAGAGTATCTTTTAAGCGTTTTTAAACGAGAGAAAACTTACTTTTTTCATTAATATTTAGTCAATGTAATTTGCAACTTCAAGGAAGATAGCAACTGGCAAAAACTTTTAAGTATTAAGCTTATAAGGCTTCATAGATGCAAGCAATTTTTAAGATTTCGACGGCATTTCCTAAAGGCTTCTAAGGCAGAATAGCTAATATAAAGATATAATAGAAACATATTTGTGAATTTATTTCTAATTTATTATACGTCATTTAAAATTTATTTTTCTCGTCATTTAATATCCCTTTCGTTAGCTTCTTATTGTCCATACGAAATCGTAAAAGACCAGATGACCTATTATTAAGGCTTGTTCTACAATCTACGACAATGTCAAACAATCCTAATGTATAGAATATTCCAACTGGACTGCATGTTTTTACTTGTTTTTACTTAATTGGGGATCCAATAATGTCGTATGGATCGTTCGTGACTACTAAACGCTCTTGCTCTTATGATATTGAAAGGCCTCTTTCTTTTTCTTCGGTTATAGAAATGCAAAATATTTACTGTCATTAAAGGTGTTCGGTTACACAAGAAACCAAAACTAAGTTACAAAATCATTTCAAGAGGAGTCGCGATAATTATTCTAAGTTATAATGAGATCTATCATTAATTTGTTTTTCTAATAACTGTTCTGGCAAAACAACAAGGTAGAGGTTAAAATAGATGAATTTAAATTCGGCCGAAATTCAATTTCCGGCCAGAATTAAGAATTTTATAATTGCAAATTATTGTCTAACTCTGGCCAAATTTATAGTACTGGCCAAAGTTAATTTTAACCGGTTAATTAACCGGTTAACAAATATTTTCACCGGTTATTAACCGGTTAAATAATTTTCGGCCGGTTCCAACCTCTACAACAAGGTAAATTTTTGACATCCACTATTTAAGAGAAGCGGGGCGTATAACTATCCATTTATTAATCAAATAATCTAAACCGGTGTCGTTCAATGAACATACTTATTAATCAAAAAAAGGAAAGCATTCAATTTTATATACCAAATGAGAATACAATTTTACATCATGGGTTGACGTATTTCTAAATATAAAAAACCATTATATTACTATTTTTTTTTTTTTTTTGCGATTGACTACATAATAGATCATAGTACAACAAAATCATATTAAGCATACATGCGATGTTGGTTATAAAAATTTGAAAAAGATATTTAAACTGCAATTATGAGAAATAAATAATGTAAAACTTCATTTATTCTTAATTTTTTTTTAGTTTCTGTTTTAGCTTAGATCGTTAGAACTTGAGAGATGCAATTTTTCTTTTGTAAATGTATATTAACTTACAACTTTAAATTTAAATCACATCAGTTTTTAGACTTGAAATCTACCTTCAGAATCATATTTAGGATGAGATGTAATGTGCTCCGAGCCTATCGAATGGTGACAACCCGATTGAGCCGATTCTTGGAACCGGTCAGGAGTCGGTTACGGTTCGGTTTTTAAATTGGTTAAAATAGTTTGTAACTCAGGAAAACCCAGAATATGCTGAATTTAAAATCGGTTCTAGTGTGACTGAAATTGATTTTCTGAAGTTGGAATTCAGACGATCTTTGAGTGTCTGAAATTGAGAATCAAAAATCAGTTAACTGAAATTGGAATTCCAATTTCAGATACCCTTTTTGTTATCTGAATTCCAATTTCAGTCATTGTGTAATTATTTTAATTTCAGTTAAATTCTAATTTCAGATAATTGAGCTTCAGATAGAATCTGAATTTCAGACAAGAGGCCGTCTGTAATTAAGATATCTGAAATTAAACTTCAGATAGAATCTGAATTTCAGACACGAGGCCGTCTGAAATTGAGTTTCTATTGAAGTTCAATTTCAGATAGAATCTGGATTTCAGATACAAGGCCATCTGAAATTAAGATATCTGAGATTGAACTTCAGATAAAATCTGAATTTTATACAAATTATGTAATTATAAATTAAAATTAAAGTAATATGAAGAATCAATTATCTGTACATAACCAATTTTTTTTTATAATTTTTAAATGTTTCTTTATTTATTTTTCTTTATTACTCTCTTATAATAAAAAAAAATTAACTCTATAATTAAGATTTGAAATATTTATAAAAAGTTTAAGTAATTTTCATTTTAAAATTCGTCTTCAGCTTCAAAATCGAATAATTATACAGGTAACTCGTAAAGATAGGAGTTCCTCTTCTATTTGCTTTCTGCTGTTTAAAAGAAAGTGAATGTGTTTAACATGTTCTTCTAATTGAATATTATTTTTGCTTTTTCAGGTTTGATCGCTTCGGTCTAAAGTTTTAAAAAAAACCTGAAAAAATAGATGAAAACGAAAATGAATAAAATCACTTATGTAACTGTATAAAAATAAAATCGAAATTAAAAAATTAAAAAAATAAATAATAAAAATAACAATTGAAAAGTAAAAAAATAAAAAATAAAAATAACATTAAAAAAAAAATAAAATAAAAAACAAATATATTGGAAATTAATGCTACAAAATTTAATAAATAAATGCTGCGAAATTTAATAATAATTTAGCTAAAAGCTAAAGTCAGAAAATAAAAAATTTTAAAGTTAACTGTATTTACGAAATTGTAAAAAAAAAAAAATTGCCATATTTTGATTGGTTAAAATAGTTTTTTATAAGTTGTTTGAAGTTGGAATTCAGATAACAAAAAAAGGTGTCTGAATTCCAACTTCAATTTCAGTCACAACACCAGAACCGATTCTGAGTCCGTTCTTTTGAGCCGTCCTCATCCCTAATTATGTGTGTTTATAATAAGAAACACAATGCATATTTAGCAAGATCTCTTAGGGTGTAAAATTATTTTTTTATTTAACGTAAAAAAAAAAAAAGCTGAATTTTCAATGATATTCACACAATTATCTATTATTTAATCAGGCATGCACAGAACTCAAACTTCGGTAAATAAATAAATAAATAAAAACCGTTTATTCGGTTACACATTCTTGCATTAGAAACACAGAAATTCAAAAAAAATTTCTTTTCAGTTACTGTTCCATTAGTAGCATGGAGTAATTTCTTGAGAATACTCAGTCTGGAACTTTGGGATACGAAAAAATAATACTCGAAAATTAGAAAAACTCTTTTATCCAGGTATGTTTTCTTTTTTCCTGAAACAAAGATATAATTTTTTACTTTGTTTTTGAAATAATTAGATTTCTCGAATAATAAAATTGTGATTGGATACAATGGTAAATTACTTGAATTCGATCCTTGAACTTCAAATAAGTCGTCATGTAGTTTCAACCTTAAATCTCCAGCAATATAATTTTTTTAAATATGAAAAAATATTAGGCCAAATTAAACCTAAAATAAATTATTTCGAATTATGAATTTCTATTATTTTAAACGCTTTGCATTTATTGTATTTACCTATTTCCTTTCATATCTTATAGTAGCTTAAACTTTTTAATCTCTTCACCACACGGTGTAGGAACGCGAGTTAACATATGGAAAGCTGATCCATCTGTCAAACGGATAGGAATACGAGAACTTTTCTTATTACATGCCGACATAAAACTGGACCAATAGATTATACAGAATCATCAACTGAATCAATATTCCTAAATTATTTATTAACACAGCTTCAAAGGTTCCTGAAATAGATAAGCATTTTGATTTGACATTTTACATACCTTTTCGGCCGTTCGATAGTATTTAACTCGGTGATATGGAATATCTTGATGGATGTCCTCCTATAATAAAACGTCCTTGGGAGCAAACAAGAGGAGGATTACCATCCATCATGCTGGAGAAGATAAAAACGCTTATTATATGTTTATTGTAGAAGTTTCGATGTGGTGGCTCATGAACCTAGTTGGACAAACTGGTCGTTTCATGGAGATTTGGTGATTTGTGCAATTAATTGACTCTTATTTATATGGTAAGTACGAAAAATGAACAAATAGAGAACGAGTGAATCAGTTGGTCATTGTAAGGTGTATATATATATTTTTATTGTATATTTTATGTGTAGTTAAGTTGATTAAGTTCATCTAACATAATAAGATTAAAATATATAAAGCCCAAATCATCCAAATTTTATGAGTTACACATACGCATACCTTCCGTTTATTATTATTTTTTTCTTTTATTGATTTTCTGTAATTTTTAATAATTTTCATCGTGCCGAATTTAAAGTCACTGACTCACAGCTTATACTAGAATGTATTGATCCAAGTAAAATGAATATAATTTTTAAATTTCATTTATATACACATAATTTATTAATAAACAATATCATAAACGTAAAATAAAGGTTCATAAAGGATTTCAAATAAAACTTTAAAACTAATATACAAGATGATTTTTCTAAATATTTTCAACAATTTCTATAAACCACTGCAAGTATAAAAATTTTTTTATTAATATTTAAAATAGAAGAAAAAGAAGCCCAATTTTTAAACATACCGCATCATTTGTCACCAATCTTATCATAATGACCAATCACTTCGTAAAAAACTTCATCTCCAATAGTAAAAGTGAAATCATGATTACGTACAATTCTATCATAATTATAACGTATGTTATAAGCCTTTAAATTAATTATATCATTTGCTCGAAGAATTAATGAATTATTTAATTTAGGTTTCAGATTTATGAATTGACTTTAAAACTTTACGACAGGATACTATAATAAATAAATAATTTTTCAGACTCAAATGCAAACAAATACCAATGTTTTGATTAAATTGATTTGAAGAAAGACTAATTGTCCCTTATTATTATGAAGGAAATCAATTCACTTGAGCAATGGAATGTTGATGCTAGGAAATTAATCTTACCACGATTTTAATAGTGCAGGCCAACATTACCAATTTTTCTTAATTGGTATTTCTCTAAATTGAATAATAGTGTTCTTACCTTTATATTTATAAACAAATCAGAAGGTTTTAATATTAGATAAGAATTTATTGTGTTGCTTTCAACGTCGGCGATCTACACTTCCGAAATTTTGTATATTACAGCAAATTTCATAAGTTACGGGACACCTGGTAAAATTTTTGCCGAGAAGTTGCCGGGTTCTCGGGTTCTCGGGTTTTGATTGAATTCATAAACATGACTCACTTTTATTCGTCATACCGTCTATTTTATAATAGTTTCAAATTATTAATTATAATTACTGTACTTCTGTAAATCCATTAAGAATTCATTTTCGTTTTTTCATACAACTTTCCTTTTAAATTTCCTAAAAGAAAGAAATCAAATCCAAATTATTACTAGCGGATAATTACTTATTGCGTAATTGTAAGTTACCCTTCCTTGTCCTTCAAAGAATTTTAATTTACAGAATCCTATTAGCTTGCTTATTATTTATGTTCGTTTGAGGCCATTAAACATTCCTTTGATGATGGGATATCCTTCGTTGTTAATATTAGGTGAAAAAGATTGTAATGAATCATGATGCACAGTATATTGCTGCAACAACTTTATTTTTAAAAAATATCATCGCCAAGAAATAAATAACGAGTTTTAAATACTCACTAAAGCAGCATTCAAAGTTGCACCAACGACTATATCCAATACTCAATAAATTTGAATAATTTTACATTGCACCCTTACGTCATTTTAGGTGAAAAATTTCACATTTTCGTGTCCAAATTCTATAAGAAAATCCTTTTTTAAACATCAACAAAAATAAAAATCCATTAGTTAATATGTTTAAAAAAATTATGTTGATTAATCAACATGTATAACTTCATGTCTGACAAACATTTATATTTCCGATATAATATAATGACATGCGCTTCAAAATATTACCTGTATTTCATGCAGGACTTTTGTAAAATATATTATATTATAATCTTTTATTTAATTAATTTCTTTAGGCATATTCTTTTTGATTTCAGATGTACCTTGGATATCAGGTACGATTAAAAATATATCGATACGTAAAATTTGGCACAATCACAATGAACGTGTATTAATTATTTTTACTGGATAATATAAGAGATTTAATCGACTATCAAGTAGAGAAGTAGAGATTGGATCCATCTCCAAATTTATCATCCTGGTGTCCGCATCATTTTATACATCGAGTACACTGGCTATTTCGGGTCATAACATATTAATTTTTTTTTATAATTAAAATAAAATGCTTTTTTAATTTCATTAATAACTACCCAACTATATTTAAGTTTGGTTTATTTAACTTCAACGTTTTATTTATGCTATTACTACAAAGGTACGGAATTGTTATTATCGTCTGAATGTGCGTCAAAAGGAATATTTCGGAAAGTAATCATTCATTGAATGCTAATGATAAGAGTTAAGTGAACGGGTAGGGCAACGAATTGAAAAAAAATTCAATGGATGTTCTGAAAGAATCTCATGAATGCCTCCCATAAACCCATAAACGGGTGATACGGGTTGTCAAATGTTGTCAAATTCTAAACCGGATCAAACCGTTTTAATGCGTGTGATCCAGGTGACCAAAAGCCGGTTCATGTAGATGAAAAGCTTGAGAAGTGCTGGATATTGAAATGAATTATATAAGTTGTGGTGAAGCAGAGTTATTAATCGTAGTTGAAAACTTTGTATTGAATTTTTTAGGAAAAGGAAATAACTCTGTCAAGTATAGGATAAACTTTTTGCAATTTGATTCAAAATCAATTCTGAAACATAAATCAGCAGAATCAAATCAATTTAATCAAACATGCAGTATTTTTTTTTGCACATTAAACCTCTAATTAAATCAATTCTGACATGCGGAATTTGGACTATTTTTTTTTTTTTTTTTTTTTATTAGGGAATACATTTCTTTTGAACAAGTAGCTGTCGAATTATTTATTTCCTTGTTATATTCTGAAGTTTTTTTAAGATTTTTTTAAAAATACTATGAACTTTCTCAGCGAATATAGGTTGACTTTCAAATTGGGATAAACCTTGCCCAGAAAAATCAAAGATTACTCTGACAATCTCAAATATTTTTTAAGATCTTTAATTTGTATACTTTTAGAAATAATATATAGTAGAACTTCACAAATTTTAATTGTTTTTCTTTAAATAAGTACCAGTTATTATTTTTATTTGCGATAATAATTTAGCCAAATATATTTTGTTTTTTCCCCACTTATAATATTTACACACAACCCGCTATTAATAAATCATCCTTTATGTGTGTTTACACATTTTACACCTTTTGTTATCTTTGTTGAATAGTTGCTTGGTGTGTTTACCCGCCATTCACATGAACCTCATGTGTCATGAAATAAATTTTCTTGCGAAGCAAGTAAAACCTCATAACCTTTCAATTCAACCTCGGGTCAGGGGCTATCATTCAGTGACTATGTAAGATAAGCTGCAACCCCGCAAGCATCTAGGCCAACTTTATAAGGAGACAGAATATCCTTACCCCCGGTAATAGTGAGAAAGGTAGTCAACAACAATGAATGATGTAACTGATATGATTTGCATAAACGACGATAAAAAAATTCGGTGCTGATCAATGTAAATTTATAGAAAAAATGTCGGATCAATAAATCATAGTTCACGCGATTTATTTATCGCGGTCTTTTTTAAAGTTTATCGCGTCACAATACATTTTACATTCTTATTCTCATTGGTATTTTTTTTACTTGATGCAAAAAGTATGGAAGACGAAACATTCAAAAATAATATTTTTTTAAAAAAAAAATATGTTCCAACTAAAGTTGCGTGACAAAACCCAAATCCATTTTGACAAAAGTCGAAACCTTTCGATTTCGATGGGTTTTCGATGGGTCAACCATAAAATGTTTTAAAATCTTCAAAATTTTGTGTCTTCGTCTCTCATTATTCTTGACGATTTTCTACGAATGTTGGATGGTTATTATTGCAACTTGGATCGAAAGAAATTCCTTGGTTACACGACTAGTGTGCTTACGAACGTTTTTTTGCAGATAACAGCTTTTGTTAGACTTCAGGTAAGAGCATCCGAATTTCGACGACGTAATCAGGCCCTAACATTATTTGTTGAAAATAAAAGACTTGTTTTTATTTTTGAGCAAATTCGCCCAAACAAAAATTTTTTCAATAGATTATTTGGAATTGGTTGCAGAATTTATGCCATGCTTATTGAAATGCTCAATAATAATAACTAAAATCCTCTTTTACTTATTCGACGATATACTAGTGAAAGCGAATGAATAATCTTTTTAATTTCGGGTATATAGAAATCAATATGTAATGACAAGATTGTATGGTAACCACAGATGAAAACTTTATAGACAGAGGACGAAATCTGTTACGAGAGATTCTCATGATTTTGGACGATGCATCATTCTGGACGTCCGCCTTTGATTCCAATACCTCAACGCAATCTTCTTAAACGAATTCAAATTTGCCATTCCATAAATGCAGATATGATATGTTACGTGATTTTTGGGACTTTCATCGCTCAAGATTTTAAAGATGAACATCAAGAATTACTTTGATAATAATTTTTGCGCAAATTACTTTTAAAAATAAATTAATAGTTATTACTATGAATCCTCATATTTTTATCAAAAATGATGATGCGTACAATGTCTTTAAAGGTTATTAAAAATATCATTCAATTCTTTAGACGACAAGTATAGATTGTATAACATATTGCAAGCTCATACATTAATCACATAAAAAAAGCTACTGTCTAAATATCCCAAATGTTCTACGCAAAACATCATATGAATCAAGGATTATTTCTTTAGTTATTTCTACAAATCGATCATATCAAATAATGATACAACGCAAGAGTTCTTAAAAGAAACCTTTATTAAATAATTATTAATGAAAGAAAAAAATAAAAATGCAAAGGTTGTAGAACTAGTTTCTTAATAGATGGTAATCACATGAAATTCATTAATAGAAAAAACGTCACCACATAAGGTCAAAAAAATCGCAGATTTTTTTTTTTTTTTTTTTTTTTTTTTTTTTATTTAAAAACGTGATATTTTATTTTTAGAAAATCTTGATTTAAGACTACACTCTACATCAATTCCATTTTAAGGAAAATTTTTACATAAAGATCATGATGTGAAATTCGTAAAAAGAACAAAACTGTCAGGTTACTTACAAAATGAAATTTATTTTTTTCGCTGCTGTTTTTCTTTCGTTTACACTTGCCTTCCTTCCTAAACTTCCAAATAAAGGAAAGGCGATCGTACGCCAATCATCAAAATGCGAACCTCTAAAATAAAAAAAGGATGCGATGTTCACTATAATGCAAATCTGAACAATATAAGTGGTTGTCCTATCGGCTCAAAAGCATGGCCACTAACACTTCCATGGAAAGTCAACTATCAAAAGGCGAATGGTGAAAGACTACCGGAACCGAATCCCAAGAAACGAATACACCTGATGCCGTTGTGCAAGAAGTATAAAGACTCCCCGTCCAACCTACAAGGATGATGGATGGAAATAGTACTTTTTGGTTATGTCGCAGACGGGTCAATGGCGAAGCTCCATACTAAACATCATCATTTTATTAATGTCATGGATATACCCTCTTGAATGTATTTAAAATTAAAAATGATGGATATAAACCGTAGGATGCACACAAAAATGTTTACAATCTAATCGAAAGAGGATGCCACCGTCAACATCTTTTCAAAAGTAAGTTATTGTTTATTAAGCAATTGATTTATGTATGCGAGAGTGTTTAATTCTTGCTTTACGTTAGATTCTGATACAATGGAACATATAACCCACTTGCATGGACATTTCTTCTATTTCTTGGGTAGGGGAACGAAACAACCAATTACACGGTCTCCGAGAGTGCATTGAATCTAGTTAATCCAATTCAAAGAGATACTGCTACAATACCCAGACTCGGGTAGGTTGACAAAATATTATAATTTGTTTTTTCCTTGGTTTTTTAATTACCGTATAACAAATATATATAACGATATATCTTTAGATGATTGAAAATTCGATAATCTTGGCGTATGGTCACAATGAATGATTATTTTATGGCATTAATCTGTTGGTATGCTTTGCGCAATTTGCGGAATTTCCCAAATTTGCGAGAGAAAAAAAGCCCATATGAATGGTGTGATCTTGTAAGGCAGGAGAAAATCCGACTCAATACTGCGCAAAAAAGATAAAACCAATATAACAACAAAGTTTCGTTTAACATTTTAAAAATATGTAATTTAAAATTTTACTAAACATCTTTATTTAAATTAATAATACAATTAAAAAATATAAATAAAAGATAATGATAAAATACAGAATGATAAATAAAAATAAATAAGTCAACAATCAAATTCGAAGAAAATGAAATGAAAAATTCATCTATTAAAGGCTTTCTGTACCTCCCCTATTTATACGCATCTCTGATTTTTTTTACCGTACTGTAATCAGTTGCTGAAGAAGTAAGTCCCAATCAAAATTGTTCAAAATTTCCATCCTTATCTTTTTCTCCTTCCATCCACCTTTTTAACAATCTGATATTCAGACCACTAATATCATTTGATATTGTCCCAAGTAATCTAAAGTTTTTGAGATTTTTGAATTGTTTATCGTGCCAGGTACAACATATAGTTTCCTGTTGAGCATTTTTCTGCAAGGCCGATATGGATCTTTGGTAATATTATCCTCGCGTGAAAAATGTACAACCCAAATCTCCGATGGACGAAGGAGTTATGCATAATCAAGAACCCTTTCGAAAATGCTCTTTTAAGATTGATGGAGGTGTTGTTGCCAGAAATTCGAGCACAGCAAGAGGATTTTGATTATCACTTTGCTTTATTACCAAATCACTATAATAGTGATGGTAATTCCATCGTTAACGACTCTTTCAAGTGCCATTGGCTGGTTATTTCAAAACCGTGTACCTTTGCTAACCAATTATGCAGGATTCGATACATATCTGCATCATAGTCACTTTCCCTAGGAACTTTTTTATATTGCTCATAATCTATTCGTAGATGTTTTGAGCTTTTATACGAGCGGGAAGAACTTATTTCAATAGTATCCTTGTCAAAAGTATGTACGGCTGACTTTATAACTTCAAGGAACCATTGGCTTTCAACGGTACATCTTCGTCAGGAACAAAGCATGTCATTTCTGGGAGAATTATAAGAATTATAGATGAAGTGCTTATTAAATCTGTCGCACTTCTCTTTTTCCATTATTGGACGATGACGATGCTGGTGACGAAGGGCTCCAAAGTTATATTAGCTTGAAGAACATCGGTCTATATAAAAGAAATTTTGAATGATCAGAAAAAAAATTTAAGATGGATGGCTGGATGCTCGAATATAAAGTTTTTGTATTTAAAACTTTCTACTAACTTGTAAGGGTAAGATAAGTTTTACCACTCCCATTAAAATGAATTTAATAGGTACAAGAAAGAACCTGCCCTCATCTGATAATCATATACATATTATACTTACTTTTTTGCTTTTCAAGAGTCACTGGGCAACATCACGGACTTTTTGAGACATATTTTCATCGTCCTTATGTAAGAAGCATTATTTGTAAGGACTTGTGATAACATATTATTTGTTGTTCATAGTTTTTTTAGGAGGATTTTTTTTTTTTTTTTTTTTTTGAGAAATAAAAAAAAAAAAATCGAGTTTTAACCAGTTTATACTAAATTAGATTACCTACGTCATGATTACAAACAAAATATTTTGTACTACATAATTATTTTAAATTCAACATAATATTTCATAAATTAAAAGCATTACAGCAGCATTAAAAAAAAAATATAAGAAATCTATGATTAAAATTATAACCAGAAAACACATTTTTTCTGATTAGCTATTAAGACTTCAAAATCAGAAAAATTACTTCAAACTGCTGCAAGATGAATATTCGCGACAAACATTCGGGTCCTATTGACGAAGAAGCTAGTGATCGAATCGGTCTTATTTACCCGAAACGGATGATCGAACATTTGAAAAGAACAAATCCCGCAATGCTATATATCTTCTTTTAAAAAAAAAAAATTAAATTAGTTGGTATAATCTTAATTTTATTTTACATGTTTCTTAGTATCAAAATATACCAAGCAATTATGAACTTCATTTTATGTTATCTAAGATGAGTTTGCTTAAACATTCTTTTAACCCATTAATTACACAAATTGGTCTTTTATTCCTTTTATTTAGAACGTACACGGAATGAAGTTCACAAAAATACGGTTATGCGTAGGATGGAGACGTTTCTATCGGTTCCACTTCGGTTCTGCATCGACTCTTCTTAAGTAAATTAGAACTTTGAGCGTTAAGTTAAATTTGGGGCAAGGAAAGGAGAAATTAAAGATGGTCATTAGTTTTAATAAATTAACTAGAAGAAAAAATACTACTTCACTTTTCTTTCTCTAATCTGTTTTTTTAGCTCATTCGAAAACTTACACTTGGGAACATAGTGAGCCGGAACAGTCATTTTCTTTTTAGTTTGTAAATTCATGAAGCCGACTATTGGAAACTCTTGGAACCGGTTCCATTCGATTTTTTAAAGTCGGTTAAAATAGCTTGTAACTCAAGAAAACCCAATTTAAAATCGGTTCCAATATAATGCAAATTCAGCAAGATCTCTTAGGGTGTAAATTTATTTTTTATTATTTATTTTTCGTAGATGCTTCAATGATGAATCTGCTTTATTTATCAGAGACGCACCATTATTTAATTAGGCATGCACGGAACTCAAACCTCGGTAAATAAATAAAAAAAAACCGTTTATTCGGTTACACATTCTTGCATTAGAAACACAGAAGTCAAAAAAATTTCTTTTCAGTCTATTAGTAGCGTGGCGTAATTTCTTCGAGCAATTCTTGAGTGTTGAGGATGCTTTGTCTAGCGTTTGGGATACGAAAAAATAATACTCGAAAATCAGAACAACTCTTTTATCCAGGTAACTTAAATAATGATTTCTATTTTTCTGGAACAAAGATATAATTTTTTTATTTAGTTTTGAAATAATTAGATTCTCGAATAAAGAAGTTGTGATTGGACACTACTTGAATTCGATCCTTGAACTTCAAATAAGTCGTCTTGTAGTTTCGACCTTAAATCTCCGGCGAGATTATTTTCTAAATATGAAAAAAATTATTAAGCCAAAGTAAACCTAAAATATAATATTTCGACTTATGAATTTCTTTTATTTAAACGCATTGCACTTATTGTATTTACCTATTTCCTTTCACATTTATAGTAGCTCAAAATTTTTAGTCTCTTCACCACACGGTGTAGGAACGTATTGAAAGCCGATCCATCTGTCAAATTGATAGGAATATGAGAACTTTTCTTATTACACACCGAGATAAAACTGGACCAATAAATACTTTGGTCGATACAGAATCATCAACTGGACCAAAAAATATTTATTAAATTAACATTCGATGATACAGCTTCAAAGGTTCCTGAAATAGACAACCATTTTCGATTTGACATTATAAATACCTTTTCAGTTGTTCGATAATTATTTAACATGATAAGTGGTGATTTGGAAATATCTTGATAGACGTCCTCCTATAATAAACCGTCCTTGGAAGCAAACAAGAGAATTACCATCCATTCTCATGCTGAAGAATAAAAACGCTTATTATAGTCGGCTTTGAAATTCTTTTATATGTTTGGTGTAGAAGTTTCGATATGGTGGCTCATGAACCTGGTTGGGACAAACTGAATAATGAACAAAAGAGAACGAGTGAATGATATATTTTTTTATCGTATATTTTATGTATAAAATATTATATTTAGGTTGATTAACAGACTAAGATTAAATATATAATGTCCAAATCATCCAAATTTTATGAGTTACACAAACCTTCCGTTTATTTATTATGATTATTTTTTTTTTATTGATTTTCTGTAATTTTCGATATTTTCATAAAGTCACTTGACACACAGCTGATACTACAATATATTGATCCAGGTAAAAATGAATATAATTTGAATTTCATTTATATATCACATAATTTATTAAAGATAATATCACATAAATGATTTCGAATAAAACTTTAAAGCTAATATCCAAGATTATCTTTCTAAATATTTTCAACAAGTTCTATACACCACTGACAAGTAAAAAAATTATTTTGATTAATATTTAAAATAGAAGAAAAAGAAACCCAATTTTTAAACATACCGCATCATTTGCACCAATCTTATCATAATGACCAATCACTTCGTAAAAAACTTCATCTCCAATAGTAAAAGTGAAATCATGATTACGTACAATTCTATTATATTTATAACGTATGTTATAAACCTTTAAATTAATTATATCATTTGCTCGAAGATATAATGAAGTATTGAATTTAGGTTTCAGATTTATGAATTGACATTCAACAATACTACTTTTACGACAGGATACTATTATAAAAATAAAAAATTTTATTAAATTTATACACAATTCTTATATATATTGTAGATACCGTACCGTACCTTCACGTTGTCCAGTTGTCGGAGACTTATCATCTCTACTTGCATATAATTCCATATTAGTTTCTTTATGCATTAATTTAAATCTGGATTCCACATTATAAGGTACTTCCTTTTCACTGCAATTTTTTAAAAACCATAAAGCGTTTTTATTTGGTAGCTTTTCATTAGCAAATACCTAAAATTAAAATGTGTATTTAAATAATATTGTTTGAATAATATTATCATTTTAAAGAGACTTTATTAAACTGACCACTTGAGCTTTAGTGCTCATATAGTTTATCTCGCAACTCGATAAATATCTACCAGTTGTAACATTTTTTAAGGCTATCAAAGAACCATATTTAATTACATTTGACTCATCAAATGCAATCTCATGAAATAATTTAAAGGTTTCATCAATTTGATTTTTTGAATTCATAATATCTGACATTCTTTCAAATTCATCTTTAAAGAATTTATTTGATGAATACGTATTAATAAGGAGTTTTTTTATTTCATCGGGATCATTAATTTCGGCATCATTACAAAGTGTGCGAAATTTTGCAAGAAACGTAGCGGTAAAGTTGTCCTCCTTTTCAGGAATATATTTCATTTTTTGTAATTTGCCCTTACAGGAGTCTTTAAAAATGTTAAAAGTTGAGTGAGATTTGAGAGTATTGACAAGTTTATCTATATTATTAATATCATCTGGGATAGTTATATTAGAATCTATCATTAAAGTACATAATTCAAGTATGTCTTGTTCATTTGTAATTCGATTTACTTTACAATATGCACGCATGTGTTTAACATATTTATTAGGATGACAAGTTCCATTATATTTGGGAAAATCCATTTTCGAAAAAGAAATTTTTTTTTTTTTTTTTGTTCATACAGTGACTTCCATAATTATTGTACCACTTCATTTTTAATTTTTAGATCGAGATACCCGAATAATTATGTGACTATAAGGCTAAAATTTTAAACCAATTTAAAGCCTGTAATCGGATTTTTAGTATTACTTAATTTGTGGCTTAAAAAATTTCTTTAATATGCAATTTTTCGTGGTACAATACTTTTGGAATCAAAATTAATATAATAAAGTTATGATCGTGTGACGCGTCTTATACATATAAGTAAATTTAAAATCAGTAGATCAATTTGTACGCCTTTTTTTTTTTTTTTAAAAAAAAATATATTATGAAGGCGATTCCACTTCACCAAAGGGAACGTATTTTTGCCCTTATCCAAGAAGGTTTACCAAGTCGTACAATTGCTTCTCGCGAAAATATAAGTCATGCTTCTGTAATAAGAATTAAACAAAGAAAAGAAGAAACAGGCAGCTTTGATGTTATTCCAAAACCAGGCCGCCCAAGAATACTTACAGAACGTCATGATAGGAATATTGCCAGGCTTATTAAGTCGGGTGAATGTACAATATGCTATTCAAATTCAAAAATCTTTAATTTCTTACGAAAATATTGTTATTTCACCAAATACTATTCGACGCTCATTGAAAAGGCAAGGTCTTGTAGCTAGAGTTAAAAAAAAAACCATTGCTGCTAAAGAGACATAGAAAAGCACGAAAAAAATTTGCTCAAAAATATAAGAATTGGACTATAGAAGATTGGCGAAAAGTAGTGTGGTCAGATGAGAGTAAATTCTTAATTTTTGGCTCGGATGGGAGAGAGTGGTGTTGGAAAGATCCAAATTTACCTTTGCAACCACAGCATATTAAACCAACTGTAAAGTTTGGTGGAGGTTCTGTAATGATATGGGGCTGTATGGGTTCGTTTGGCATTGGAAAGTATTGTAAAATTGATGGAAGAATGGATGGAGAGTTATATAGAGAAATTTTGGAAGATGAGTTTTTAGGAAGTCTTAGCGCGTGTAATTTGAATGTAAATGATGTCATTTTCCAACAGGATAATGACCCAAAATATATAGCAAAGAAAACATACAAGTGGTTTGATGATAATAATATTAAAATTTTAGAGTGGCCAGCACAATTACTGGACTTAAACTCTATTAAATATTTGTGAAACAAAATTGATTGTCATTTGCGACAGCTTCCCGATAATATTACTAGTGCAGAAGATTTGTGGAATAAGATACAATTAATATAGAATCAAATTGATGCTGAATTTTGTTTAAAGCTAATTGATATTATGCCACAACGAGTTAAAGATGTACTTAAGGCTAGTGAGGGGATATACGAGATGGTGATAGTTTTGTTAAAAAAAAATTAGAGCATAGTTTATTAAAAAAAAATTTGAAAAATTTATGTTTTTGATTTTATTTTTATATACGTTAGAAGTATTGTACCATAAAATTTATGGTTATGAAAGAATTTTTTTTTAAAATTATAAATAAAAAGAAATTTGAATTT